CAGGCCGAGCGTGACGCCGAAGCGACAGGCGCCTGCGTTCCCGTTGAAGACGCAGCGCAGCTCCGGGCCTTCGTCGGAGTTCACGTAGCCCTCGTTGACGATGGGCCACAGAAACAGAAGCATGTGTAGTCGTATTGTGTAATGCATGGAATGGAGCTCAAGGGGTAGAAGAAAAGAGATATCAAAAGCTGGAACTCCCTGGCGGCACCCGGTGCGTCTCGGGGTGAGGGTGCTCAGCACCCTTCCCTTCAGACCTCCCTCAGGCATTTGGTCATCGTGGACCGCGTGTACCGTGTAGAGAGCATCCCTCTGCCCAGACACGGTGCCTAAAACTGCTGCTTCATGTGTGTTCGCTCATACAATCCTCCCAGAAAACCACGAAGGTGCCCTTCGTTGTTCTCACTCCCTTTACGGACGAGGAAATTGGGGCTCCAACAGGTGACGTGATTTGTCTGAGGTTGCATTGCTGGTAAGAGCAGGGCTGGCATTCGAGCTGGGTCTTGTGCACCGCTTGGGGGCCACACCAGAGGTGGGAGCAGGAGCCTCCAGAGTGTGAGTCCAGGCTCCAGCCGGTGGTGCTGGGGGAGGCAGGTGTGGAGCCAGGAGAGAGGGGCCAGGGTGCAGGGGGCACAGCAGAGGGACACTCCAAAGAACGGAACTGCCCGCCCTCGGCATGTAGAAGCCGTGTGGCCCTGTCCGTTAGCATATCATACGTGATGGACAGGCCCAGCTAATGGGGTGTTGGGGACGGAGAAAGAACGTCCATCCAGCATTCTACACTTGGTGGGCACTCAAGTGCTGATGACCCCACATGACTATAAGTGTTTGGGCGCAAAAGGCGAGAGGACTGACCTCTGGGGTTCAGTTCAACGTCAGCGCTCTGTCCCCACGAGGCCTGGAAGGCAGGTAGCAGGTGGAACACAGTCATTTCATTTTATTTTTAAATTCTAGACCATGATCCTTTTAAGCCAGATGCTGCTCTTTTAGCTCTGGGCAAGCCTGTTTCTAAAAAAAGATCTCCAGTTTCAACTTCATTTCTCTCCTTTCCCACCCTAGTTCCTGGAGATAGAGTCAAGAGGGAAACGGAGGTGCAGGATTTGGACTCACCCCGGAGTGGTACACAAGTGGAACCAGAGCTGGGACCTGAAGGTAGGGTTCCTGTAGCCTGGTCTGGCGGGAGTCACTCCCCCTGTCCTACACTGGGCACCGCCCTACTCAAGACCATCGAGTAGGTGTAGCTACCAGCCGTTACTGGCTGGACAAAACCCAGAACTCAGCACCTCACCTCCCATCTCTCCTACCTGGAGAAGTATTAAGGAGGAGCAGGCCACCAAGCCTAAGGACGCCCCAATAAGCTAGACTGCCCCTAAAATCAGCCCCTCCCACACCACCACCAGTCAACCATCCCAAAGTAGAGCCCCATCTGGCTGCCCCACCCAGAGGATCCCTGATCAACCCCCCACCCCTCACAGTTGCAACTGGGGGGCCTGGGAAGGGCCAGCTCCCTTTAAGGAGCCTGGAGGGTGTGTGTGCAGGAGAAGGGGGGGAAGGGGGCTGTGCCAGATTCAGCTCCTGGAGCCCCTCCGTGAATCCCGTCCCCACCCCTGTGCCTGCTTCTAGGTCATGAGAACAGGAAAAACGGAGCGAGGGCTTAAGAAGGGGACCGTTCGACCTAAGAAGGAATTGGGGGTGGGGGACGGCGGGAAGTGACCTCTCAAGGTCCCAGGCTGTCGCCGGCAGCAACCTCCCCCGCTCCAGGTGGGCGCGCCCAGCACGGTGATGTCACCCCAACCTGCGGCCCACGAGGGGAGGGAGGGGACAGCGAGGAAGAGGGTGAGGGCGAGGGACGGGGTGGGATCAGGTACCGGGACAGTGGCCACTCACCCAGGACACGACCCGCAGCAGGGTCTGGGGCCGCTTCGCGAAGCTCACGGGGTCTACGGCGGCCCCCGCAAGGCCCGCGCCAAACGAAGCTCCTTCCATGGCTGGCCCCAGCGGGCCGCGCACCCCTGGCGCCCTCTGTCAGTCTGTCCGGCGGCCGGCCCTGCCCAAGATAGCCCGGGGCTGCTGCGAAC